CTCTCTGTCCGAAAAATAAATAAATGTTGGAAAAAAAAAAAATTTAAAAAAAAAATATTGAGCCTCAGAGCACTTTAGACCAGTGCGGGCTTTTGTAGAAGAGCTAGTAACCAGACTTCATTTAGAATCCATATTTCCTATCATTAATCCTTCTCCAATTCTATGCTTGCTTCCCTTTCCAAAATTAAAAAGTGTGTGTGTGTAAATCCTAAAACTGCCTGACTGCCTCTCCAGCTTTGTCTCTCATTGTGTTCTTACCCTTTGTACTTAACAGCCACACTAGCCTGCTTTTGGCTCCTAAAACTACCCTTGCTTCCTCCCAAACCACACCTGGTTAATGCCTACTCATCTTCCAAGTGACAACTCACGTATCACTTTTGGGGAACGTGTTCCTCCCTGTTCCTCCAAATTAGATCAGGTTACCCATGTTGTGTACTCGCAGAGCCCTTTGTATCTTGCTTTTATTGCTTTGATCACAAATTATATATGTATTAGCAGAGTTATTTAAATGTCTCCTGTACTGTACTGTAAGTTCGATGAGGGCAGGGACCATGTCTGTCTTAGACACCACTGTATTTCTAATGTCTAGCCTACTTCCTGCACTTGGTAGGTACTCAACAAATACTAGAATAAATGAATGTGAATGAATTCAGGCCAGATCTAGAGCATAGAACTTCACTGTTGGATCAGTGGGAATCTGAACCAGAAAGGCAGCCTGGTGCGCAACTGTGAAGGCTCTTAATTGTGAATACTGAAGTATGAAGCCAGGTTTGTGAAGCAGGCCAGATGGGTGATTGGCAGCCATGAGAGCCTGGGCTGGATGGATAAGGAAGGCATCCCTGGGCTGGACTGTAGAGGCCCTGATGCCCACATCAGGTGTTTTGGCGGAAGGATAGGCGCAGAAGCTAGTTGTCAGAATCAGAGAGGCAAGTGGAGGGTGGTGAGGGTATTGGGTCTGTGGCTAGAGAGCATTCCTTTTAGCAGCCTAACTGGACAGTAACTGAAGGCAGCTTGTAGAGATAGCAGGGACACCTTTGGGTTTTGAAAGCAAGAGAAAAGGAAACGGTATAAGAAATTCACAAAATGAGAAGAATAGAAAAGACCAAAAATGGAGGGGGAAGTCAGGAAACAAATGTGTTTGAATTGACGGCACCTTGGGAATGGGAAAGCGGTCGAATCTAGAGTAGCCGAACACCTGTTGTTCTGGAGTAGAGGAACCACGAAGCAGTGTACTTAATAGAGTACTTCAGATGGTCCAGGGTACCTCAACCAGTAACCATCGCTCTTACTCTAAGGCTGATGGGAAGGGAAGAAGGTAAATCTAAGGGTAGCAATCTCTTGAGCTAAAGGTAAGGGAGCTAACTCCCTCACAAAAATCGTGACCTGTCAAGGGGGACGCTGACATTCTGGTGCCTCCACGAGAGCACTAAAATGCTACAGAACCTTGAACGTCTTACTTTGGATTTCTGTGACTTTGTTTTTGCAGGTATCTGAATATAGTCCATTATGTAGTTCATTGCTGTTGCTTTTATGCTTTTTATTATTTACAAATGCTCTTACCGATTCGTGAGTTCTTGAAACTATGTCGTTGCATGTTATGTTTACCTTTACCCTGATAGATGCATCTGCTTATAATTCTTTTTGCTTTGTCCTCAGTTCAGATATTTTGGATGGCAGTAGTAGCAGCAGTGGCTTATCCTCAGACTCACTGGCTAAAGGCAGCACAACCGCAGAGTCTCCAGTAGCATGCACCAATTCATGCTCTTCGTTCATCTTGATGGATGATCTCTCACCCAAGTGACTTACCCATTTCTGATTCAGTGTTTTAACTGCTGTTTCCTACACAAAACATTTCAGTGAGGAACGCAGAGAGCTTTGATCCATAATGAGGATTAAAGTGTGACAGACTTCAACCATTTCGATGCCGTTCTTTTTTGGCATCTCTCTCCTCTAAAGTTCAATTTTACGAGTGTAGTGACCTGACTCATGTCTCTTCTTGCTGATTTCGTTTTGGATCTAGTGACTAAATCTCAAATAACTCATTTTTGATTGCTTAGAGTATATATTTTTTCCCTCCGTGCCTCAGAGAGCACCTATTTTAGAGTCTATGCGTTTAATAAAGGAAAGCACTGATGTGTATTTTCAACAGTGGTTCTTTTTCCCAGCAGTGACATGACAGCTAAAGTTGATCAGAAATTCTCTTGCTTGAGAGATTGTTTTTGTTGTCTGTTGACTACATAGTTTCAAATCTCTTTATTCCACGATAATAGATGGATTGCTTTCGGTTATATTAAATTTTTATTTTTCCGCATCAGCTTAAAGTACATTATTTTGTTTCCCTTTCCTGTTTGAGCTGCTTACTTGCCATTTCTCACCGAGGGGAGGGAACACGTAGTTGCTTTCATTACTATCCATGTCGCTTTGCTGGTGGAGTGTATGACGTGAGGATTGATTTTAGTGCTGAGAATGTAAATGGACTGACGGGATGCCTGGATTAGTCACCGGAGGTTCTTATGCCTTAGCTACCGCGGTTGATGTTTTTCTCCCCAAACCTGTTGCCCGAAGGAATATATAAAATATTGTTAATGTTTCTAGGTGGTGTTATCAAGGAGAAGAAATCCCTGCCTTGACCAGATGTGTGGAGCATCTACAAATGAATGAATAATGTTATTTACACACAAAGCACTGTGTAGAAAAGCGTACGCGGAGCTTGACAGCTTGTTTCGGGTGGTATTACGAGGCCCGAGGTGCCTTGGGGTGCAGTGTTGTGCTGTAAAGGTGTATGTCATAAGGTAGGCTAGAAAAGGGGGCTTTATGTGTCTTACTGCCACATGCTGTTTTGATTGCTGCTTTTTGCTGATTCCTTTCTCGTCCTTGGATTTGTTTGTTTTGTCGTGTGGTGAGTGCTGCTGCCCACTGTGTTTTGGTTATTGTGTTTTTGCCGCTAGAGTCAGAATCCAGTTCTTGTTGATGCTGCCTTCTAGCAAGGGCAGCTTCGTATCTCCGAGGAAGCTCTCAGGAGCCGCAAAAGTCCATGTTACTGTGCATTCTGCTTTTAAGAAGCTGTTGAGCTGTGAACAGTGGACATGATAGTAAGTCTGAGGTACCGTAAGTTATTTAATTTCTAAAAGAGGAAAATCCTGACAGAGCTATTTAAAAAAGCTGAGTGTAATCTATCGTTGTGTTATTTATTATTTAAAACTGTGTTAAAATGTTGTGATAGATTTCTTTTAATGTTGAGACATCGTGGTTGGGTTGTCTGTGTTTAATATGCCAATTTCCCCACTAGGATCATAATATTCCACGTCTTAAATGAATGTAAGAAATGGAAACTACTGCCTTTGTGTCCTTTGAAGGCAAAGATTCTTGAATTCTGAAGGAAGATGATGTGCTTTGAGGGTACTCACAGAGTAGTAACACTGTATGACTTGAAGGGAAATCTATCCTCTTTGAATTCTGAGAGAGCGTCGCTTAGCTTGCAGTAAGTTGTTCTGTTACAGCATCACATGTGGTGTTGATTTTAAACTGTAATAACCACCACAATGGCCACGAATGGCCTTGTTTCTCACATGGTTTTCCCCTGTGCAGAGTCCATAATCTTTCAATCCTAACATAAATGTATATATTATGAAGGTCGTTCCCTAGTGTGCCATTTTAAAGAGAAGTTACCTCGAGGGTATTCAGTGTGTTTATTCCGCTTGTGAAAGAACCACGTGAAGATGTTTCTGCCTATATAATACCGAGAGATGGTTTTCTCTTACAGGATACTTACCCACCTTCGCTCTACTGTCTTCTTTGCCTTAAAGGGATACTTTTGGCCATGAATTTTGGGCTCTAATTTAGGACTCTTGAGAAACAACCTTTGGAATGTGTTGATATTGAAATTTCTTGAAATTCAGTGGTGGGTTAGAATTGGGACAGGAAAATGAAGTTGTTCCAATAGTAGGAGAACTAGGAGACCAGATGATTCACTTTATCGTTTAAACCGAGGTTCGTTTTTGTTGCTTAAATTGACTAGAAAGTTAAGTTTATGCAGGGATTGTTTTGGAATAAATAAAAAGAGATGCTAACCTTCAAATGAGCTCTGGTGACAGTACCCCTTTATTTTTATATAAAGTCTAATATTTGAAAAGTGGTCATTGTTATAAAATAAAATTCTCTCTTCCTATTCTAATATATCCTGTTTCAGGCTTCTATTTGAAAACAAGTACAAGAGATGATACGATAAGAAAATCCTATAGACGCTCTTTTTGCTTGACTAACTTATATAATCACTGTGTTTCATGATAACCGCTTTTGGAATAAATTCTAGAAAATTTTGTGAAATGCTGACCTTGTGTATATCTTAGAATGCAAATTTAATAAAGTGTGTACACATGCATAAAATTCTGTAAAAGTTGTTAAAGGCTCTTTTATTCTTCTGAATAATTCATTTTCTGCCTCCATATCCCCGTATTGCATTCTGTGTGTCTCATCGCAGTCAGGTTCGGGATGAAATGATACCAGGACCACAGAAGAATTAGCTGCATTGAAGTTGGGGCTGTTTCCCAAAACGGAAAGGAAACCGCTCCACACGGTCTGTCAGACTTTTCACGAGCATTCTGTAGAACGGGACGATTGAGACCGTTTTTGCCAAGGCCACACAGACTTCTTACTTATTTTTCATTTTTCTCTTGCTGTTTGTTTTTGACCTATTCATAAGACCTATTCATTTTGTTCCTATTCATAAATTGTTTTGGAACAACATGGGTGGGTAGACAGGTAAAAAGTAAAAGCCTTGTGTGCGTGACTCAGGTCATAAACACTCCATTTTCTTTTCAGTATCTTTTTTTTTTTTAAATTTTTTTTTTAATGTTTATTTATTTTTGAGACAGAGAGAGACAGCATGAACGGGGGAGGGGCAGAGAGAGAGGGAGACACAGAATCGGAAACAGGCTCCAGGCTCTGAGCCATCAGCCCAGAGCCTGACGCGGGGCTCGAACTCACGGACCGCGAGATCGTGACCTGGCTGAAGTCGGACGCTTAACCGACTGCGCCACCCAGGCGCCCCTCTTTTCAGTATCTTAAAAACATGAACTGTTCTATTTCACACTTACGGAAAAGTGGCGACAGTAGCACGAAGAATTCCCGTACATCCTTCACCCAGGTTCCCTAGTTAACGTTTTACCACGTTTGCTTTAGCATTCTCCCTCTGTTTCCCCCTCTCTTCTGTATGTGCGAATACTTCATACTTGAGAATTCACGTATTTTTTTCTAAACCATCTGAGGAGTTACAGAAATGACACCCCATTACCTTTACATGCTTCAGTGTACTTTTCCCAAAGACTGGGACGGTCTATGTAATAAAACTATCGAAATCAGGAAATTACCTTTGATAGAAAACTACCATCCAATCTGTAGACTCTATTCAAAGGTTTCCCGTGGTCCCAATAATGTTCTTTTAGCAAAAAGGAAAAAAAAAATCTTTTCTTCTGACCCAGGATTCAATCCAAGATTATGTGTTACACTTTGTTATGTGCCTTTGATCTCCCCCAATCTGAAGTCCCCAGTCTCTCCTTTTGCGATTTTCATACTTTTGAAAAGTACTGGCCAATTTTGAAAACTGTGCCTCAATTTAGGTTTCACTGCCGTTTCCTAGTTATTAAATTCAGGTCATGCATTTTGGGCAGAAATACCACAGAAGTGACACTGCATTGGCAGTGTGTTCTTGCAGGATACACATGACATCACCGTCCTTTTGCTGGTGATGGGAACCTTGGTCCTTTGGTTCAGGTGGTACCTGCCAGGTTTCTTTTGTACAGTTAATGGTTTCCCTTTGAAATTAAGAAAATACTTTGTGTGGAGATCCTTTGAGGGTATATAAATATCCTGTTTCCTCAAACTTCCCCTCACTAGTTTTAGTATCCATAGATCATTCATGCCTGGTGGCATTATGATGGCCAACTGATGGTGACTCTCATTCTATCATTCTTTCTACATTTATTGGTTGGCGTAATACCGTAAAAAAAAATTCCCTTCACCATTTATTTGCATCAGTGTGGGACTCCTGGAGTCCTGTTTTATTTAGTCCGTGGGTTTTAAGTCATTTTCGTTATTTTGATATTCACATCGCAGATTTGGACACTGGAGAGAGCCCCTCCAAGCTGGCTCCTGTGTCCTTTTGACCAATCTCTGGTTTTTTTGATCAGTGTTTCACTTATGTGGCTTAATATGCCCCAGAATCATACATTCCCTGCCCCAGCCTTGGGATCAGACATTTCTCTAAGGAGCCTTGATTCCTTTAATCTTTCAAAGCCAAAGTGTAGGCACTAGGTATCATCATCACTATCTGGATATCCTGGTCTAAAGGCCTTAGCATAGAGAAAATATATGTAAATGTGTGTGTGTGTGCATGCACACATATGTATCTGTCTTAAAAATCATGAGTTCAAACTGGTACCTTCGATTCCAGTTAAACACCACAGGGTTCATTCCAGGGTCCACCCTATCCATATTTGTAACTCCGATCTCTGACAGTGAGGACCCCGGTTCCCGTTATCCTCAATACGGTTGTTCATTTCCCCTGTATGTAACCGGTTTCTGACCCTGCCTGCCTCCTCAGTTCCAGCCATCTTCCTGCTCTGACCCTGATGGTCCCTCCAGTCCCACCAGCCCTGGCTGCCTCTGCAGAAGGGAAAGGGAGAACGGGCTTAAATACTCAGGTCTTAAATCTCCCTGGCTCACACCCATCCCAGCCACCATCCCTAAGCTCCTCTTCTGCGTTGAATTGCTCACAGCTCAGGGATTTCTTACGTTCATCAG